CTGGTCATGACCAGCTCATTATGCAATAGGAGGGGGACATCTCACATGTAGAGAGAGAGAGAGAGAGAGAGAGAGAGAGAGAGAGAGAGAGAGAGAAATGTGTATGCTTGGTAGTGAGGTGACATAATACCCTTCACTCATTCAAGTGGTTGCATATCCCTATGCATTCCTCAACCCATGTGAATGTGGTCCCCTATTTTAATGAGTGGAGGGGATTGTGCCACCTCATTACCAAACACAACTTTTCGTGGTCAATAGTACCCTTTATTTTTTTTGAATATTTTATTTAGATCTATCATAATCATAATTATATCTTATTCTAATCCCATATGAATTATCTACAGCTCAACAATTAAAAAAAATAAGATTAATAAAATACATGAAACAACACTACGGTATTAGTTTGTTAATGTAAAGAACTAATATGCTATAATCATACTCTTTTTAAAAGTACGAGTTTGAGAAAAACTTTTCGTGCTTGTTAATGTAAAAACTTTTCGTGGTCAATAGTACCCTTCACTTTTTTTAATATTTTATTTAGATCTATCCTAATCATAATTATATCTTATTCTAATCCCATGTGAATTATCTACAATTAACACCTCGATATTTTAAAAATTGTAGAAACACCATCTGTTATGATGTTTTCAATCACCAAAGTGCAACCCTTTGCCAACGGACAGATGTACTTCTGCATGCAATTCCCCAATCAAATTGACAGCCAGAGACCAACAAAGATTCCAACTTAGCCGACTCGTCGAGTCGACATTTCTTCATGTCGACTCGAATGACGAAACTTGTTGGCCTTTTTATCGAAGACGACTCGTTACAAGCCCACTCGACCTGCTATTCGACGCCTCACAAAGATGACTCGAAAGATGTTACTTCTCGACGAAGCTAGAGGGCGACCTCAGCTTTGAGACTCTCCCACTAACACAATGTGTCAGCATCACATTTAATGCTTGGCATGCGCTATCATACATCTAGCTCTGATAGCCTTCATAACTCATTGAACCACGTCGTCACCGCCATGCCTCAGATCGCTTCACATTTAATGCTGAGGTGATCTCTCCTCCACTCGGCGATCAACACGTGTAAAGTAAGTGCTAACGCAGCCGCCAACCAATGCTTCTTCACCGTCACCCTGTGCTCGGTCGAAGTGCCAATTCTACCCTTTCGGCACCACTATAAATAGAGGTACTATTCTAACATACAGAGGGCTTGAAATCTGATCTTCTAAGATATATCTACAAATTATATTGTATTCACAAGAACTCATAGTTCTTCACTTTCCCCACTCAAGTTCACCAGCTGACTTGATCGTTGGAGGAACCACGAGGGAGCCAAGCCCCGTCCTCTCACGGGTTTCTATAAGTGCAGGCTTCAGCCACTCAACTCAGAACCGGATATTCAGGGAAGAAAACGGCCCCTCATCAACTTCACCCCCATCCAACCATTATTAATTAATTGTGAACTTTAAAATTTACAAAAAATAACCTCAAAGTAATAAAAATTATAAAAAAAATCCTTCAAAAATTAAAAATCACAAAAAAGCCGTAAAATTTCAAAACCTATAACCAATACATATCAGATCCAGAAAATATTAGCAGACCATTGAAAATCGGAATTTTACAAAAAATAATCCAAAGTTTTAATAATTGTAAAAACACCCTTACAAATTTTCAGAGTTGCAAAAAACTTACCACTAATATATGAAACATAAAAATTACAAGTACCCAACTTAAATTTTAAAATTTCCAAAAAAACAATCTCAAACTTTCAAAGTTTGAAAAACACACATAATAAATCCAAAATAAAAAAAAGACTAAAATTTCAAAAAAATAACAAAGAAAAGAGTAGTTTGATATTCTTTCATCAAGATATATAAATTTAACTTATAATTTAGGGTTCACTATCCTTTTTCAACATTTAAATGTAGTCTAATTTAATCGAAAAAGATAAATGTAGAGAAAAATTGCTGTCAGCTAAAAAAAATAAAACAGAAGGAATGAAAGACACTATTTTCTAGATATTTTATGGAATATTTTATTTTTTGAGTAAATTAGGAATCTTTAGAATGGATTTTCATGAGCTTATTTTAGTACTTTTATATATCTATGTGGATGCTTTCATTATATCTTTCCTTATATAAAAGTGTACTAGAGTTAGAGTTAATATTTAACTTATGATTAAAATAAAATATTAAGGATTAGGAACAAACTCCATATTTTCTTTTGTGTCGTTTTAGCATACTTTTAACCAATTATCTTGTCTTATTAGATTTAATTATTCGTCTTCCTTTTGTAACCCTATTTTTTCAAGTGTTTCCCACCTTTACAACACTATACTTTCTGAAGTCAAGCTTGATTTCATGTCGGTTCAAATAATATGATAATCTAAATTGGCTTTGAATTAAATTTATTTTCTATAATTTAATTATTAAAATAAAAATTTAAATTGAGTGTAGCTCATTTAAACAAATATCAAAGAAAATAAATAACCGCAATACTAAATTTTAGAGACACAATTGAGCAAAAACAATTAAAGTAAAGGAACAAAATTTTCGTAAGGAAATAAACTGAAAATACTTAAGTATGATATTTAATCATGTGCACTGCACGTGCATAAAAAATGATAGAAAAATAAACATGTCTTTAGCATTTTGGTTAGTACCTTGTCTAGAGTCAGAAAATCCCATTTCCTCAACTACTCAGTCCAAAGTAAAAATACCATGTAAAGTCATTATACTTACTTTTAGTATTTTTTTTAACACATTAAAAGCACACCGTTCTTGTAAAAAGGTTGGAAAAAACTATTTGTCACTTGCACCGGCTTTAGCGTTTAAATATTGAATAATTAAAAAACATAACTTAGACCACGTTGTTTTTAATCTCCGGATTAGGGGGTATTGTATTTCTCAGATTATAGTACTGAAATTATGCTATATTGGGACTATTTTAGTCCAATCTAATGTTTATTTTCACATGAGCTAACACGCGGACTAACCTTAAATAGTATATTCATGTCGGATTTGGATCCTCTCCACTACAAAAAAGTAGTGGAGAGACCACTACTTTTAATCTCAAACGTTGATTATTTAGTAGGCGGTTATGATACAATCTAAATCTAACACTTACCATACCCCCGTGTATTGCACTCATTCCTAATTTACACTAAAAGAAAAAATCATAACCATCAACTAGATAATCAATGGCTGTGATTATGTAGTGGTCTCTCCACTATTTTTTTTGTAGTGGAGAGGATCCGAATCCATTCATGCCTGTGTGTATGGGAAAAAAAATAAACTTAGGCGTGAATTTGTTTAACAAATAGACATACTAGTATACCACCTTATAGCTACGATGATACAATAAATACTCATTTAACAAAATGCAGCTCTGAAGAACTAAAACATGTAGTTAGACATTAAAGGCTCTCATCAATTCCAACCATTTAGGCAAACGAGAATTAATATTCTTTTCCGTATGCAAAAATCTCATCCTCTTTCAGGGTTACCCGATAATTTAATATTATAATTAACATAAGAATTCAGTTGCCGCACACGCTAGGGCATCAAGAAATCACTATCCGCTCGAATCGTTGCTTACATGTACTAATCTGTAAATTTTCCCTCTCTTCACATTAAATTTGGACAAAATGTCAAAGGATGTTTGGTTTGTTTGTCCTCACCTCGAGCTTGAAAGAACCTGCAGATATGGATTGATGGCGCGTCCTGCTACGATTTCACACGCACAAACATTAAGCTGACGTGTAACTCCATTGAGATCAAAATATCGCGAAAACAAAAGGCTACTCTAGGTACATGCATGACTTAGTCAGAGATGTCTTGTATTATATCCTTCAAAGAGCAGGGATCCCGTCAAAGAAGGAAGCGCCGGTCAACTTCCTCACTCCTCCTGGAGATGCTAGATCTACTCTAAGGTCGGCAGACGTTCTTGTCTACAGTTGGAGCGGGAGGAAGCACGCTTGTGTTGATCTCACAGGGGTGTCTCCGTTGGTGGGGTTTGGTAATGTAGAGTTCAAAGTTGGGCATGCAGCGGATAGGGCAGCAGAGGCAAAGGTGGGCAAACATGATAAAGCTTGCAAGGACAACCACCACAGCTTCATCCCGTTCGATTTCGATACGTTTGGTTTCCTTGCAGCTGATGCGGTGGAGTTCCTCAGGAGGGTATAGAAATTCATGAATAAGAATGTGGCGACAGCAGGGCCCGCTGAGTACGTGTCTCGTAGGTTTAGCCTAGTCTCCTCTTCGGTCTCTTTTGGGGGTATCAGGCAGCAACTCCTTGAAAATAGCCCGGACTTTAAAATAATCCGGATCAGACCAGATAAAAAAATAAACATGAACTTAAATTGCGAGTCCAAATTACTTTTAAAATTATACCCTACTGTTAGAAAAAACAAACATGGCTACCCGGTAGTTGAGGCCAATTGGTGCTTAAAATTATCAGCTAGCCTGATGTAAGTTTACCGCCATTTAAAAAAGAATTCCCGAATAAACCAATAGACAAGGTTCTTTCTCTAAAATCAAGAGCTTAAAATCAGCGAATTATACAGCTCAAGAGGACTTATGTGCAAAAACATCTCCACCCCCGAAACTGGAAAAAAACAAAATAAGAGCAAATTTGCCCCCAAAAATCTCAATCCAAAACCCTAAATCCTAACCTTCACTCAAACCCCGCCATTGTCGCCTACGCTACGCAAACGAAAAGCGCCAACAACCTCTCTCTCTCTCTCTCTCTCTCTCTCTCTCTCTCTCTCTATAATTTGTTGTTGGCGGTCTCTCTCTCTCTCTCTCTCTCTCTCTCTCTCTATCTCTATAATTTGTTGTTGGCGGTGGAAAAATCAAAGATTCCCTATAAATGGCCGTATCCATCGCGATCGCTGCTGTGGATAGAACGGTGAGATCCCGTGAATCCCCCTTTTGTTTTGATATCAATTTTCTGTTTCCAAAATGCCCCTCTCCGTTTCCTTGTTTTATAGCTCACGGGCGCACTAGTTTAGGATTTGCGCTTCCTTTCCCAAAATGCCCCCCCTGCGTCGCCATCTTTTTAAATAATTGATTGTGTGGGCATTTCTTGTTCCGTTGTAGCACGAGCTGGATTTCTCACTGAGAAGAATCCACACTCCTTTCTTTCTTTCTTTCTTACTTACTTTGCGAAAGGGATCGATTTCTTTTTTTTAGCTGCGAGTGGCATTTAGCTGCGAGTTTCTCTGTCGGGTTTGTGTTTCTTTTTATGGGGTTTTCATGAATTTGATTTTTATTGCTAAAGTTGATATCTTTGAGGTTCCCTCTGTCTCTGTCTAATAATAACTGTGAGTGAAGCTTTGGCCCTTGGCACTATTTTCAATCAAAACTTACAGTATTTCATTGATAGCAGTGTAGTTGACGTGTAAAAAGAAGGAAGTGGTGTTGATTTTGTGTTTTCTTGAATGCGGCTCTTTTGTATATCGAATGTTGGCTCACAAATTCAGGTGTTTCTTATTAAGTGGATTTGAGTTTTTTAGGTAGGTATTTGTTACATTGTGCACACATACTGTTATTCTCTTACAAGCTTATTGTGTGCAAATGTCACTCTGGTTAATAAATATTTTTTAAATTGAATTTGTCACGGTTTGTGATTAAAATTATAGCAGTTCATCGCTAGTGGTGTAATTAATGTTGAGAAAGATGGAAGTGGTGTTGATTTTGTGTTTCCTTTTATGGGTTTCTTTTATTTATCGAATTTTAGTTCATAAGTCCAGATGTTTCTTAGGAAGTGAATTTGAGATTATTATTAGATGGGGTATCAATTTGTGAAAATTTCATCTCAGACAACTCCCGTTTCATTCATTCGGTTGATATAATAGTTCATGGATAGAGGTGTAGTTGATATAAAGAAAGAAGTGGTTTTGATTTTGTGTTCTATTGAATTTTGGTTCATGAGTTCACATGTTTCTTATGTAGTGAATTTGAGTTTATTAGATGAGTCCTTGTTTTCATTTTGCATACTGTTATTCTCTCATAAGCTCATCTTAATCCAAGTGTCAGTCTTTTCAATTAACATTTTTGAAATCTTCATCTCAGGTAACTCCAATTTTGTTCATTCTCCAGCCAATTCAAAATGCACCTTTCAACGAATAGGAAGAAAGTGATATCCAGCTTATTTGTTGCATTCCTCATCTTAGTATCTACACTCTGCTCTTATGTATCTGCAAAGGAATGCACCAACATACCAACTCAGCTTTCTTCACACACACTCCGAGCGCAGCTCATGTCATCAAAAAACGAAACTTGGAAGGAGGAGGTCTTTTCCCATTTCCACTTGACTCCTACCGATGAATCTGCGTGGATGGATTTGCGCCCGCGAAAGCTTCTAAATAAAGAAGCTCCCCTTGAGGACTTTGATTGGGCGATGCTCTATCGAAATATAAAGGGTTTGGTGGGGGTCAATGGTCGATCCCGTGGGGCTAATTTCCTTAAAGAAGTTCCTCTTCACGATGTTCGTTTGGATCCAGAGTCTATATATGGCATGGCTCAGCAGACAAATTTGGAGTACTTGTTGATATTGGATGTGGATCGACTGGTTTGGAGCTTTCGCAAAGAGGCGGGTCTATCGACCCCTGGGCAACCTTACGGAGGGTGGGAATCACCGGATCAAGAGCTTAGGGGACATTTTGTGGGTTAGTAATCAGTTTATATTTAATGACTGTATCTTAATTTTAATTCTCCACATAAAAGAGTATGAACTTCTTGTTGATAATGCGTCTGATTGATTTATTGTTATTGATTTGTGCTTAATTGTTGTATGATAAAATAGTTATTGCTGGAGACCTCTGGATGATTTAGTTACTGATGGTTGGGAGATCATTTATTTTTACTTAGTTCATTTATAAATATTGTACTCGAACTATTGATACCTGCCCCCACACAGTAATTGTTGCATTGGTTTCTTTATGACTAATTTGCAAAGCATGCATGGTCCTTTTAATTGATAATCTTAAAAAAAACCCAAAACTTAAAGAATTTACCACTATTTTAGAACTTCTGATTAAGTTCTTGTGTTTTCTTTTTTACACCTTATTGAAACTAATTGCATTTTCCCCTGTCTTTTTGCCCTTTTACTATTCTTCCATCCATGTGCACTTAATTTCTTAGCTTGGTGTTGCTTTTCTATTTGTGTTTTCTCCTTAAGCAAGAGACTCAATTGTCGTAAGTAATAGATCTCTATCTGTTTCACCTTTAGTTCACGCATTAAGACATCACATGAATTCATTATATTGATTTATCCCGTTCACGTTTTCTTGTGCTAACAATTTCCCCTCTTTTTCTGCAGGGCATTATTTGAGTGCTTCAGCTATGATGTGGGCTAGTACCCACAATGGCACTCTATATGATAGAATGACATCCGTAGTGAATGCACTTTCTGCCTGTCAAAATAAAACAGGCACTGGGTATCTCTCAGCTTTTCCACCTGAATTTTTTGACCGATTTGAAGCCATAAAACCTGTTTGGGCGCCATATTACACTATTCACAAGGTAGACATTATGTGCTAAATAGTGTGGATCCATCTATGATATCTTCTTCTTCTCCTCCCCTTTCTGTTTGGTGTTTGTTATCCAAATATTCTCCTTTGCTTCATTTCATTTATTATCAGTGCCTTTGTACTCATCTTTAGGGAAAGTTGCATGATTTCTTGTTGGGAATTGCACTCATTTGAGTCGCATAATCAGGCTAATGAGGCATATGATAACTGTTTCCTATTAAGCTGTCGATATTATTGTGAAGGGATTAATAATGCTATATTAACAGATAATGGCAGGCTTACTTGATCAGTACACACTGGGTGGTAATTCTCAAACGTTACAAATGGTGGTATGGATGGCTGAATACTTTGAGAACCGTGTGAAAAGTGTCATACAAAAGTATAGTATTGAGAGACACTGGGTATCTCTCAATGATGAAACAGGAGGCATGAATGATGTTCTCTACAGGCTGTACAGCATAACGGTAAATTTCTTTCATGTCTATACCATATCTTTGTGTGTGTGTGTGTGTGTGTGTGTGTGTTACAGGATATATCAAGTGGATCGTCCTTTGGGGGCAAAGGTATTTGCAAGAGAGGCAATTTTCTACTTGATAAAAGATTATTGCAAACAGCCATTTTCATTTTGCAAATTATACTGCTTACTTTCAAACATGGACTCATTTGATTTGTCATGACCGTGTGTTGTTGGTTTGTTTGTCATTTTTTATTTCTTCGTAAGTTAATCATAAACCGGAGCAATGAGCTGCTTTGTGTTGACTTGATGCAGGGTAATCAGAAGCATTTGATTTTAGCTCATCTTTTTGACAAGCCATGCTTTCTAGGTCTGCTTGCAGTACAGGTCTGTTAACTTCTTCTTACAAGTATTATTGTAAACTATCAATAAAATTTTGTTGTTGGAGATTTATACATTAGTTGCATTAGCAGAGAGTTTTGTCCCTAAAAGAAGAATAACACCACCCACTTTTTTCTTCTCTTTTTGTCTGGCTCTATTCATCTTTGGGTTATGTATTATAATCTGCCAAAATTTTGTAAATGTTGTATGGTTGAACTATTCATTCTCTTCTAGTTCTTGGCAGCGTGGCTGACAATAATATCACCGAGATTGACCAGCTAGTTATGTATACATTGAGAGGAGTGAATACACACCAACATTTAGGAGTTCTCTTGATCTTGACGTTATGCCATATGTTGGCTGCAGAAATCATAAATCAAACCTAGTAGCATAAAAGGTTTCAAATTGTCTCTACCTTAAATCGAACACATACTAAATAGATACATGCATATGTAGCAAAATAGTTTGATCAATTGTTAAGGTAACTAATATTTCTGTATCTACTGGGTGTAAGTATCATCTTTGTTATAAAATAGAGAATATATAATATTACTGCAGTAACTGTAACATGACAGGAGTTTGCCCTTACCTTGTTAAATTTGTGCTTTATTGCAGTCTGACAGCCTTTCTGGTTTTCATGCCAATACACATATCCCCGTTGTTATAGGAGCGCAGATGCGCTATGAGATTACTGGAGATTCACTTTACAAGGTAATATGCGTCGAAGGATCTAAATACATGTTTCCGCTAAATTCTGTTGTTCTAGGATTATAATGATGAGAAACTAGGAATTTGTATGCGATTAGAGAATCTTTTACTTAATGTGTCAACTGGCAGAAAGCATATGTAACTTTAGTTCCTATTTTTATTAAGAGCTGCAACTTTTGTGTAGCCAATATAAATATGCCTTGAGATTTTTCTATAGCTTGATATGTCTTATGGTGCTTTTCTTGTTGCTTTTACTTGTATAAAATTCTTTTGGTAGAAGGGCTTGTCTGAAAGTAAATAAAATGTTCTGTAATTTCAAAAGTCTAATGCTTATAAAAACTTTAATTCTGTCCAAAAATAAATTAAATGTTTTTTAATTTCAAAAGTTTAGTGCTTATAAATTAAATGTTTTTTTAATTTCAAAAGTTTAGTGCTTATAAAAACTTCACATTTCTGAAATAGATTTGTTTAAATGAAGATTGGATAAGAAAGAATGTCTGAGATAAAGCTTTGGTAGGGTCTATGAGAGAAATAGAGAGAAAAATTCAGTTAAAGGCATATTGCCGGATTCTTGAGAGATTTTTTGAAGAGAAGAGGAATAATCATGTGGCAACAGTTTTTCTTCTACAACTGATAGAAGGAGAAAAAAAATTAGCTTCTTCAGGCTATAAATTCTTTTACTTGTTTTTCATAGAAGTTCCATTTTGAATCAATTATCAAACATTCAAATTTGTTGAAGAAGCACTTATTTGTTTGAAAGCGGTGAAAGCACTTATCACCTAGCATACCCTTAGTATCTTTGAAGCCACGCGGGTTTTTTTCTCTCTCTATATTCATGCATCTATTGGACTATTTCAGTGGAAATTGGAAAGAACAATCACATCCTTTTAACTGTTCATTCACATTAGCTTCTTCTTCTTCATCTTCTTCCTAATTAGCATTCATCTTTCATAGTTCCACTCCTTCATATGGTCCTTGTTAATGTTTAGTGATCTGTTTTCTTACCTTACTTCGTTAAGAAAAAAAGGAGATTTGTTTGAGGGTAGTCTAGGCTGCTTCTTTTTTTGATTGTTTGATCAACATTTTGTAATTTCTTCCAACTTAGGGAGTACCACCTTAGACTTCACTATCTTTCCCATTTTCTTACTGAAAGAGGCTTTGATGTGCAAACTATAGTCACACACTCCCAAAGCTTTCCGACTATATTGTTTTTGTTTATCTTTAATATCATGGCTGTTCTACTTTGAATTCAAAGTTAAAAGTTTATCTTTTTCATTGCTTAAAGACTTAAGATAACACAATAAAGTATTATCAACTGTTGCATACTGTCAAATCATCTAGAAAATTTTCCACTGAACAACTGTACTTATACATAATTATTTTCATATAGGATCCTTTTACATTTTCATGAGACTCACTAGTCAGTACCCATTTCTTGTATCCCAGAAATGATGAGATCTAGTTGAGGTTTAAAGTGAAAGTCGTTTTTTAATTAGTATTTCTATAGTTTCTATAGTTTTATCTTATTGAACTTACAAATATACTTAACTCTATCTCACAGGACATAGGAACATTCTTTATGGATATTGTTAATGCTTCCCATACTTATGCAACGGGTGGAACTTCTGTCAGCGAGTTTTGGTAAGAAACACAAATATTCCACTATTCTATTTAAGCCTTAAAACTAGAAAGTAATTGATAAATTTTTTATGTTGACAGTGGAAAATTCAACTATTCTATTTAAGTCATGCTCTTCTTTGTGCACATGGCTTCACTAATTCATTGCAATTGCCTTGATTAATATGCAGGTCAGATCCAAAGCGCTTAGCAGATACTCTAAGCACAGAGGATGAAGAATCCTGCACTACTTATAACATGCTTAAGGTATGTCATACTGACTTTCATCTGGTATGCTAGAACTAGGAATTATCGGAAATTTTTGTTTCTTAATTAGACATTCAATGAAACTTAACTGATAATACAAATTAATCTGACAAGAATCAAGAAAGTAGGTTGGTCACTGATAATTATCCTGTATTTGCCTTTCTAATTACAAAGTTCTGCTAATTATGCAGGTTTCTCGTAACTTATTTAGATGGACCAAAGAAATGGCATATGCTGACTATTATGAGAGAGCACTGACAAACGGTGTGCTAAGCATACAAAGAGGAAGGGAGCCTGGAGTGATGATTTATATGCTTCCACAAGGGCCTGGGCAGTCGAAGGCACGGAGCTACCATGGATGGGGATCACAATTCAATGATTTTTGGTGTTGTTATGGGACAGGTATTTTAAAGTAACATACTTTAAAATGACATTATAATGTCAGATAATACAGTGTTCATTTCCAGTAGATTGCTAGAAAATAAAACTTTGCTAATGTAGTTGAGCTGATAGCAAAGATGCATTTAGGATGTTTTGACACCCTAAGGTGAAAACACAGTTAGCATGGCTATAAATATTTTAGCCATATTGTTGAATTTGGGTTTGCTAAAACCAGAGAGTTCAATGTTCTTGTCTTGAAGAGTACAGCAAAAGTGGGATTCGGTTTTTTTGTTATTTTACTGGAGCTCTGTATCTTGGATAAGACAGTTGGTCATGGAAATTAGGCTATTGATGCATTAGTAGGTTGATTTTTCAAAATTTCATCCAGGGGAAATACAGGTTAAACTCTTAAGATTACTGCAGTTAGCTGTAGTAAATTACATTACAAGACCTTTTTTTTAATCACATACACCATCTAATCCATGATAGTGTAGCATATCTAAACCATCCAATCATTTTTTAGGTGATTTTAGATGACTATTGTATATAAATAGTGGAACACTTTTTGAACTAGAAGGGTTTTGGCTTCACTTGTGCTTATTGAGAATTTTGATATAATAGGCAAAGATATCTAGGTTATAAATATATTATAGACTACCAAAAATCCAAAAATTCTTCTGTATCTTATTTGATTTTTTTGATTGTTTGTAGGTATTGAATCATTCTCCAAATTAGGAGATTCCATCTATTTTGAGGAGCCGGGAAGTATCCCAGGTCTTTACATCATACAGTTCATACCAAGTGCGTTTGATTGGAAGTCTGGAAGCATTATGATAACGCAGAAAATACAACCTATTAATTCATGGGAACCCACTCTTCATGTCACATTGTCAATTCTTTCAAAGGAGGTATTTTCTTCATCGCCTGTGAAGGAGTGATTAAGTTATATACTTTCCCCTCATTTTATCATCATATGCTGCTTATAATATTTATATTTCTCCTAAATTTTAATTTGATCTTTTCCAAAGTCACATGTCAACTAATGCTTGTTATATTCTAAAACCCAAGTTCTTTTTTTCTTTATTTTAGTACCCAATGTATTATAAAATGGAGGAAGCAATATCCTTTTTTCTTAAAGCATAGGAAACATTATCTTAATTTGATCTTATTCATGCAGTCTTCCATTCAAGCTTCAACCTTGCACCTACGAATACCGTTCTGGACAACTTTAAATGGTGCAAAAGCGATGTTTAATGATCAAGATCTGTCTCTACCATCCCCTGGTAAATTTGTCTCTTTTTTCTATTAAACTTGCAGATTCGTGTTGTATGACAAGCAAAATATCATGGATAGATGATGGGAAAATTCTAAGAGAAATGATATATGCATGCTTTCTTCTGTATTGTTTTTAGAAGATGATGTACATTTTAATAAATGCAAGTATCCATAAAAAGTTGGGAGATACTTCAAGACACAGCCATGACTTCTAAAGTTCAACATTTCAAGATATAAAAAATTATCAGAATTTGGAGAAAGGAATCAACAAATTTGGAAGTAAGGGCTTTATTTTTGGGAGGGGTTTTCCTATAGCAGGCATCATTCTTCCCTGGTTGAAACTTGACCCATAATGTGGAAATTAGACATGAATTACTCAAGGTAGATGTACTGAAGCAGAATAAGATTCTGTTCCAAACCAGCAAATAGAGACAAGGCAAGATGCTTTTATCTATTTAGATTGCCTTTTGATTTGGTATATGGCTTCTAGCATTCATATATTTGCATGTGACATGCCTGAGTTCTCTGTTCATCCCTGCAGGAAATTTCCTCAGTCTTTCTAAACAGTGGACTTCAAATGACAGCTTGGCCCTCAATTTGCCAATTAGTTTGCGGGCAGAGGCAATAAAAGGTCAGTTTCCTAATATCTGTGAACATTATTTGGATGGTATGACTACTAAGGTTTATAATCATATTTTTCTGTTCATATTTAGTTAAAAACATCGAGCTGTTCTTGTTCATGATAAAACTGGGATGTTGTGCTTGTGATTACTTAATATAGGGACTATAGAATTGAACATTCCTGTTAATTTTTACTTTCAAGGACTGTTGGAAAGAGAATATAAGTCTTGCAATCTTATGTCAGATTTAAGCCGTTCATAGGCGTCCAACCTTGTAAATTTACTATTTTGGAAGACACATTGACACAAGAATTCAGTTTAGAGTTTGCAAGTATAGGTCTTTTGGCTTTCCTGCGTATATATCAAATAGTAAGACTGAAGTGTGCACTCAAAGTGACGTCTTCTTTTGGGGTTATTTGCACTTAAATGCCCCCAAATCTACTCTGTATACCCGAATGTTTATTTTTGCCCAAACAGTACCCCAAAGCTTGCCTCTTTTCTTAATTTGATACCCCAAAGTTTTCTTTTACCCAAAAAATACCTTGAAGTTTAACAAAATTTAACTTTCATAGCTCAAACTTTTAATAAAAAGTTCAAATTTGGGGATATCAAAGTTACATTTTCATGACCTTTGGGCTATTTCTTGGGCCAAAAAAAAGGTCTTTGGGATATCAAAGTAATTTTAATTGAACTCTGAGTTATTTTTTGAGCAAACAAAACTTTGGGGTATCAAAGATAAAATTGAGGTAAACCTTGAAGTATGTAAGTGTAAAGAGCCCACTCGTTTTATTTTTATGTCTAAAGATCTAAACCTGAAAGAATATGAAGGTCTACTTGAAGCTACGATTGTATTTGACAAAATATAATTCTTTTTAACTCTTTATTCGCTGAAAATACTGTCACAAAACTTTGTTGCTAGATGAACGACCAGAATATGCATCGATCAAAGCAATCCTCTTCGGTCCATACCTGCTCGCTGGCCTAACCAGTAACGATTGGGACGTCAAGATCGGCAAATCATCCTCCATAAATGAGTGGATCACTCCCATTCCTGACTCCACCCGATCTCAACTTGTCTCTCTCTCTCAGCAATCCAACAACCAAACCCTATTCCTCTCCAACACAAACTCTTCTCTGACAATGAATCATCAGCCTAAACCTGGCACTGATGATGCTGTTCATGCCACTTTCAATCTCATTCCACACGACTTAGTATACCCTAACATGATCAGACCCGTTAAGCACACCAGTCCCGGGAAGCATTTACTTGGACGGTCAGTAATCCTCGAGCCATTTGATCTCCCAGGGATGGCTATCGTGCATCAAGGACCAAACAAACCTCTGACAGTCTCATTTCCTTCACGCTCAGAATCTATCTTTACAGTGATTTCGGGTTTGGATGGTAAAGAGAATTCGGTGTCTTTTGAGGCTAGGGATCAAAAAGATTGCTTTGTTTACTCTATTGAAAATCAGGTTGGGCTTATGCACAAAGAGGACAGCGATGAAGCCTTCGGCGAGAAGGCGAGTTTTATGATGACTAGAGGGATGAAGGAGTATCATCCTATTAGTTTTGTGGCAAACGGGAAGAAGAGGAATTTTGTGCTTGAGCCGTTGCTTAGCTTGAGGGATGAGTCTTATACTGTTTATTTCAACGTTGAAGCGTAGAATACTGGTCGCGGATGATGTTGATCTAAACACTTACAGGTTACCGATTACGGCGGTTTATGGAAATGAAAAAGCCAGTGCGTGCTGGGTTTAGTTATCAGTTGTTTATATTCATTGGATTGTGGTACTAGAGAATAAATTTATAAATTAATGGAAAATTTACTTGAGAAATATCTGTTTTTTATGTGCCCAAATGTCTATTACGGATTTAACGTACGAAACAAGATGTCGAGTTTCTCTTCGTTTTGTTTGGGCAAGAAAAATTCACAGGCCGGTTTGAGGGCATTGAGGTTTCAATATCAATCTTTTTCGACATAAATTGAGAGCGTTACATCTTCAAAGTAAATTAAATTTTGGGACTCGTACGATACACAGTTAAGCAAGTTTCTTTTGGGAAGAAATTAACAATCAGCGGTGGCAAAAACGCCAGAAATCAGGCAGCATGAATTTGGTAATTTATTTGCAAAAGAGGGACAAAAGGAAAAAAAGAAATTAAAGATGGTAACATCTACAAAGTACAAAAGAAAAAAACATCAAATGGGATGATTATCTTTAATTTCTTTTAGGAGTATTGCTTGTGCAACCTTGCCTTGTTCTCTTCCCACCATACTCGTGCCTTCACCTCCCCAAATCTCTCCCGGCTGTTTTAATTCATTACAAAACAAACGTGTTAGCTACTAAAAATGTGTCCTATTACGAGGTAATACTTTAAAAATGTCACATAACATCAAAAAGGAAGTTTTACAACCCCTAATCTGATAAAACTTTGTTGGAGCTATCTCAAAATGTGACAAACTTTCGGGGGGTTATCTGGAAACTTACCCCTGGAAGAAATATATAATCTTGATTCTTGTACGTGAAATTAAAACGAGAATTCAAAGCAATTTAGACTTTTACCTTAGCTCAACGCGTAATAGCTCCTTTGAGCCGTTTGGTAAGCTACGGATTGTTACGAAGACGCCGGGTTCATCTTCAACCACCCACTCCCTTACTTTATTCTCTGATGATTCATTCTCTGCATTATTAGAAGTTGAACCTTCCCTTGATGAAGAACTATTTCTAGAGACGTTCTCTTCTGTCTTTTGAAAAGTCTCAATTGACTCATGAGACCCCCTTGATGAACTGTCAAAATTGTTGTGGGTTTCCTTTGTATTATTAGCTCCTACCTGAAAGTATAGAAGTACAAACATGAGAGTGACATAAAAAATGGCTAAATATCAGAAAACTACCTTAGCTTTTGGATGATTATCATATAACCTCCCATAACTTTCAAAATATAAATAAAATAAAAATTAATCAATTAAAAAAAGGCATTAAGTTAGGTTATCTGAGAACCACCTTTAAGGTTGAGATTTCATTGGAAAATTCCCCTAACAGTATAAACCACATTTTTAGTCTGTTAGGGGATTTTCTTATTAAACATTAAACTTAAAAGGAATTTTTTTAAGTTATGGGATGTTGCAGCGGAGGGGCTTCACAGACACAAAAGATGTCTATACAAGAGTGGATAAAGAGAACAACACACAAGGATTTAACGTGGTTCAGTCAGTATGACCTATGTCCACGGACGAGAACAACAGAGAACTTCACTAATCACAAAGAGAAGATTACAAAAGAGGAGATCACACTCTATCCAGATACTCACACAAAGAAAGGGACTTTTTCTATCTCACTCTCTTCTCTCTATTTTCTCTCTACTCAATTGAGTTCTGATGCTCTTAAACCCTCTCACTACACCCCTTATATAGCCATACAAAAATAATAAAATAATACAAAGAGGGTTGTTGAAATAGTAGAAGTTAGGCTGCACAGTGGAATTAGGTTTTGAATGCTTTTAATTTTTAAAGGCACATGTTTCACAATTCTCCACATTGACTTTAAAAATAAAGATCTTCTCTTCACTCTTATTGTCTCGCTAGAAGCCCCTTACGGGCTTAACCTCCGCTTTGTCGAACTCCAAGCAATTCTAGACAATGCTCGAATTTGCGCGAAGGTACATGCTTTGTCATCATATCTACTAGATTATCTGTAATACCCATTTTCTCAATCATGATGACTTTAATTTCTCTGATAAAATGATACCTGACATCTATATGGTTGGTTCTTTCATGATACATATGATGCTTCGTCAAATGTATAGCACTCTGGCTGTCGCAAAACACTATAGTAACACCTTGGTGTAAGCATAGATCTTTAACCAAACATCTCAATCAAATAGCTTCTTTCACTGCTTCTGTCACTGTCATATACTCTGTCTCTGTGGTAGACAAAGCAACTGTCGACTGTAGAGTCGCCTTCCAACTAATAACACTACCTGAAAGAATGAATATATAACCTGTCAAAGATCGTCTCTTATCCAAATTGTCCGTATAATCTGAATCAGAATAGCCAAGTATTCTGCAATTTGAGTCCGTGTTCCTGTCAAAATACAAACCAATATTAGCAGATCCTCTCAAATATTTAAATATCCATTTCACAGCCTGCCAATGGACCTTTCCAGGCTTATCCATATACCGACTTACAACACTGACTGCATGTAAATATCTGGATAGGTGCAGACCATAGCATACATAATGCTTCCAACTGCACTCGCATAAGGAACATAAGACATGTATTGCTCTTTCTCCTCAATCTGAGGTGATAAATCTGCTGAAAGACAAAAATGATTAGCAAGCGGAGTCTTCACAGGCTTAGCATCAAGCATACCAAATCTCTCCAATACATTCTTGATGTATTTCTCCTGAGATAGGAATAAACTTCCTTCTCGCATGTTCCTGTGGATCTCCATCCCCAAAATCTTCTTTGCTGCTCCCAAGTCTTTCATCTCAAACTCATGTTGCACCTGTCAAGGAGCGATTGGGACCGTTGAAAGGTCCCCAAACAACAAACCAGACTGGGGGTCGTGCTAGTCCCCCCAAGAAAGATAACAAAGGGAAAGCCCCTGTTACCGACCGCATTAGATTACGGGTCGAAGTTCAAGAGCCCGTTAAGTTTTCACGCTCGCAAAAGCGTAGACTTGAACGAGCGACTGTGGATCTCCATCCCCAAAATCTTCTTTGCTGCTCCCAAGTCTTTCATCTCAAACTCATGTTTGAGTTAAGATTTCAACTCGTTGATTTCTGACATATTTTTAGCTGCAATCAACATGTCATAAACATACAAAAGAACCATCATTGAGCTTTTTATGATAAACAAAACTATCATATTTACTCCTAGAGTAACCATGCATGCTCAAACATGAAAGTATCAAATCTCAAATACCACTGTCTCGGAGACTGTTTCAACCCATAAAGAGATTTCTTCAACCTGCACATATGGTCTTCTTAACCTTCAACAATGAACCCCTCTGGCTGATGCATAAAGATATGCTCCTTAAGCTCACAATGTAGAAAAACTATCTTCACATCAAGTTGCTCAAACTCTAAATTAAAATGAGCAACCATGACAAGCAACACGCGAATTGAGATGTGTTTTACAACTGGAGAGAATATTTCATTGAAGTCCACACCTTTGGTCTGACTGTAGCCTTTAGCTACCAAGCGTGCCTTGTACCTTATAGAATCTGTATATGGAGTTCCTTCTTTCTTCTTGAAGACCCATTTACAGCCAACAATCTTCTGTCTCCTTAGTGGCTTCACTAACTCTTATGTCTGGTTCTTGTGAAAAGACTCCATCTCTTCAGTGATCGCAATAGTCCAATTTGCAGCCTCATTGCCACTAATAGCCTCCTTATAAGTAGAAGGCTCTGGAACCTCAATCGATTTTGCTATACTCAAAGCACAATCAAGCATGTCTGCATAGCGTTGAGGAGGTCGGATCTGCCTTTTTGTTCTCTCGGTGGCAATATTATACTGTTACTCTTGTGGTGTATCAGTATCTGAAGTTGAACCTTCCGCAGTATCAACTGGTTTAACATGAGCGCCCTCAAGCACTTTTCTTTGAAGCTGGGCTCTCTAGCTCCACCTGCTTGCTAGACTCCTTTTAAGTACATGTAGTAACAATAACAAACTCCTTTCTCAGGTGAAGCATGAATTTTTCATCAAAAGTAACATCCCTACTAATAATAAACTTAGGTGACTTAGGATCAGAATACCACAATCTATATCCCTTCACCCCAGTAGTATATCCTAGAAAGATAGCTTTCTTTGCTCTAGGTTCAAATTTACCATCATTAACATAAAAATAAGCAGGATAACCAAATGCTCTTAAATAAGAGTAATTAGCAAGAACACCAGACCATACCTCTTCTGGAGTCTTGAAATCAATTGTTGTAGAAGGAGATCTGTTTACCAAATAATAAGCTGTATTAACTGCTTCGGCCCAAAAGTCTTTTGACAAACCGGCATTAGAGAGCATCCACCGAGCTCTCTCTAAAAGTGTTCTATTCATCCTTTCTGCAACTCCATTTTGCTGTGGTGTATGCCGAACTGTACGATGACGCATAATACCTTCATTTTTGCAGAACTGGTCATAATCTGTGGAACAAAACTCTATCCCATTGTCGGTTCTGAGGCGCTTCACTTTCTTTTCTGTTTGCTTCTCAATCATAACCTTTCATTGCTTGAAGGTTACAAACACATCACTCTTATGCTTTAAAGGATACACCAAAACTTTTCTGGAATAATCATCAATCAATGTTAGCAGAAAACGAACTCCACCTTTCGATGGAACCTAAGAGGGACCCCAAACATCTGAATGGATATAATCTAAAGTACCATTGGTTCTGTGGACACCGGTTCTAAATGATACTCTATGGTGTTTGCTGAAAACACAATGCTCACAAAAGTCTAATTTGCTGGTTTTCTGACCACAAAGCAGACCTTGTTTGCTCAATATATCCAGTCCTCTCTCACTCATATGCCCTAACCGCATATGCCACAAATGTGTAATATCTGAATCTGAATCCTCTGAGGATGACACCGCCGCAGCACCTGTCACTGTACTGCCTTCAAGGATATAGATGGTATTTACATTCTTTCCTTTCATCACAACAAGAGAGCCTTTACTTACTCTCAAAACTCCACCTTCAGCCAAAAAGTTAAAACCATTTGAGTCAAGGGTGCCTAAAGAAATGAGGTTCTTCTTTAATTCTAGAATATGACGGACATTGCTCAATGTTCTAACAATACCATCATGGGTTCTGATCTTAATTGATCCGATACCAACATTCTTGCAAGGCATATTATTTCCCAACAAAACATTCCCACCATCGATAGACTGATATGTGATAAACCAATTCCTATGCAGACACATATGATAGGAACAACCCGAATCAAGAACCCACTCATCTTGTGAATGAGTATTAACACTAACTGACACATATGATAGGAACAACCCGAATCAAGAACCCACTCATCTTGTGAATGAGTATTAACACTAACTGAAAGAACTTCATGTGAACTAGAATGAATCAAGAACCCACTCATCTTGTGAATGAGTATTAACACTAACTGAAAGAACTTCATGTGAACTAGAAAACTCTTCAGTTACAGTGGCAACTGAAGGTTTTACATCCCCAGACTTCGACTGTGAAGTATCTTTTGCTTTAAGCGCTAGACAATTAGGTTTTATATGCCCATATTTGTGACAGTAATAACATTCAACAATTTTCCTTAGCATGGACTTTGATCTAGACATATTTCTAGATTTGCCTCTACCACCAACACTCTTTTCAGGACGATCACGAGCGAACAAGCCTTCAGCTTGATCCTCTCCTCCTACGATATACACTTTTTACCTTAACTCTTTTGAATGTAGGGCTGATTTGACATCATTCAAAGAAAGTGTATCTCTACCATATAACATGTTATTAACAAAATTCTCATAAGAATGAGGTAATGAACATAACAAGATCAGGGCTTGATCTTCTTCGTTGATTTTAACATCAATATTCTTTAAATCCATAAGAATAGTGTTAAGTTCATCTAAGTGGTCTTTAATTCGTATACCTTCCTTCATGCTAAGGGAGAAGAGGCGTTGCTTTAAGTAAAGCTTGTTCGTCAGAGATTTTGTCATGTACAACTCTCCAACTTGAGCCACAACCTCCCGCAGGACCTCATCGGCCAAACAGAGTTGTATGGCACTATGCGCCTTCATCTCCAGCACTTCTTTCTCATTATCGGGCATAGATTCCGGCAACTTATCCTTTCCGGACAAGACCTTGAACAGTCATTGTTGTACTAGGAAAGCCCTTATTTTTATTCTTCACAAACTAAAGCTGTTTCTCCCATCGAATTTCTCCACTTTGTATTTCACAGAAGACATCTTGAAGCCCACTAGAACAGTAACTGTAATTGTGAACAACAACTGAACAGTAATCGTACGTATGAATAGTACTCATACGTATGAATAGTAACCATACGTATGAATAGTACCATACGCGTGAATAGTATCATTGCTTTTAAAGAGTAAATGATAATCTAACTTATTTTCCGATGTGGAGAATCCACTTTTAGTGGCAGCCACAGAGTATACAATAAGCAGATATACGTACTCTAAGTCAGGCTCTGATACCAGTTTTTACAGCGGAGTGGCTTCACAGACACAAAAGATGTATATACAAGAGTGGATAAAGAGAACAACACACAAGGATTTAACGTGGTTCGGTCAGTATGACCTACGTCCACGGACGAGAACAACAGAGAACTTCACTAATCACAAAGAGAAGATTACAAAAGAGGAGATCACTCTCTATCCAGATACTCACACAAAGAAAATGACTCTTTCTATCTCACTCTCTTCTCTCTATTTCCTCTCTACTCAACTAAGTTCTGATGCTCTTAAACCCTCTCCCTACACCCCCTTATATAGCCATACAAAAATAATAAAATAATAAAATAATACAACGGGGGTTGTTGAAATAGTAGAAGTTAGGATGCACAGTGAAATTAGGTTTTGAATGCTTTTAATTTTCAAAGGCGCATGTTTCACATGAGAGATTATCTGATAATCATCCAAAGTTGGGGGGGGGGGGG